AGAGAGAGAGAGAGAGATCATAAATATGGACATTTCTTTCATTTGAAATATTTTACTTTTAAAGGGTTATAAAATATCTTTTCCATTTAACTAAAATGAGATTAAAATCTTTTAATGGAAAATGTTCTAGGCCACAATTCAGTTGTCCGTCTCTATTCAGCAAAGCACTTAGAGAATGTGCATAAACACTTTGTGAAACTGGGGCTCTAGTGAGTGAATTTTACATGAGAGTTGGTGTTTATTGTCATGTTAAAAGGCATAACTAAGGAAATATAATGGTACCCAATTGTCCCTTATTGGCTCAACAGTGTACTTTGATTGATTTTCTTAGCCTTCCAATCTATTAGAATATAAAAAAAGGAGAAATTGTGGCTGATCTAGGTGGCTAGAATGAAATGTCCTTTTGGTATACAACCAAATAATAGAAGAGTTACAGTAAAGTAGGGCAAAGGAAGACTTTATTAAGTATGATAGTCTTAAGGAATAGACCGTATTCATTATCATTAAGTTTTTCTCCCTAGACTTGCATGATGGACATCATTCTGACCTCATTTTTTTCTGCCATTGTTTTTGAGATCTTTAGTTGTTCCCCTTATCAAATCATCCATATTCTTTGTGCTAGAGGTTATCACCACAACTTCAGTGATGCTAAATAAAGCTGTTCACACCAGGTATGAATTTGAAAATGAATATCTCAGCCCATCATACACACTTGTCATATGAAAAACCAGAAATTAAAAAAAAGGGGGCATCTCTTTCAATGTTTAAAATTGACCCCTCCCACACACCCCAACCCTTGGAAGCATTATGTATCCAAACTTTTAAAAGGTAGGTCTTCAAAACCACTGCTGGCTGTTACTACTCCTGAATATACACCGAAACCAATAATTTTTAATTTAGAATTCTATTTGTTTAAAGAAACATTCAGAAAAGGTTGAAAGTTTGCAACAGAGCCTGCCTAGGAGAGCATGAGCCATTAACTTCATGAACTAAGATAGGGAGGAGAGGAAAAATCAGTTTTTCAATGGTTTCTCAGAATACAGTTGTTTAGTTCACTAGTCTCTGTCTACAGCTTTGATAGTGTCTCTTAATAGTTCCTCTAGGCTTTTTACAAAAGGTAGATATAGTCTGTGAGCATCTTTAATGCCTTTTTATGTCTACAGCTAAGGAAATGCTTGGTCATCTGCTTAATGATTGGATCAGGTCTCTTAGTACATACTGTCTTGAGTGTGTCCATCACAAAGAACAATAATCTTGTATATGTATCACTAAACCAGTAACATCTCTGCCTGTCAATTTTCTGGTCTGAGAGCCATTTGCTTACCTATGTTGCTTGATAGGCTGGCTTCCTCTGTCAGGAGACAAGGCTTCAGGGAAAGATTGAGTGCCTGAAAAACTGGACTCCATAACTTTTCCCATCACAGGCCCAGGATGCCTGTCTGTCTTTGAATACTGTGGTACAGAGAATAAAAAGCAATTAATATATTAAAAGCAGAATACATCATGCATGTTATAAATATCTGAGATGAAAAAGAAGAAGGATGGGAGGTTTCTTGAAATAAAAATGTCACTGGGAGAAAAAGAATGAATTAAATAACCTATGCATATTGGAAAGCACGAATACAGTACTCACTGTTAAAATATTGAAAGTATTTAGTGTTATTGCAGTATTATACAGGTACCTCTACCCTTGGTATTAGGGAATGCTATAATATTGATTCCTTTAGTCACATGGCTGATTTTAGAACTACCCCTGCAAGATGGTATATCTCAGAAGATCCCTAGGACCTGGCAGGGCCCTTGCTATGTCTCCTTTCATTAACAGATGGAATTAACAAACCGACATGAAAAAAAAAACCCACTTGGATTCAAATAAATAAGAAATGGTGGATCCAAACATCGTTTGGGGAAAGTCTACATCCTGATTTGCAATTTGAGACTCAGGCCCATCAGGGGTCTACATTTACAGTCTGAAAGTAATTGGCATTCCAGTGGTACTATGGGTATGGTATTCTCTATTTGAGTACTAATCCTCATAGGAACCGCTAGAGTCTATAAATTTGGAAATAAAACAAGAACAAACTTTCTTCTAATTACATACATGTTGGTCTTTTGTTTTGAAAATACAGTGAGCACTTCTCTGATCTGGCTCCGAGTGGAACCAGAAAGTGCAGAGATGTGTAAATATTAAAAAATGAATAACAGAACATTTAAAAACTCAAAATAAATTCCATTTCAGTATGATGTCAGGGATGGATGAATGTGCAGTCTGATTCTTATTTTATCAAACCAGTTTGCTCATCCATAGTGTTCATTGGGTAATATCCCAGAGATATGAGAAATGGATCTGCCTTTTCATGTAGATGTTAAAAAGCAGTGCAGTTGGCAGCTTTCTTAGGCTACTTGACAGTTACCTAAAGTTAGCTTGGTTGGCCCTATGTTTTCCAACTTTAGGTTTCTATATATCACCAATATTTGCATTCTTTTTGCAATAAACAAAGTATTGTGCAAGATAGGACATGATACAAGTTAACTCAAGGATGCCTAAATCACTTACGCTCCCTAGAAAGTCATAGCTGATATTATTGAACAACCATTACAGTAAAAAGGGTAACAGTGATTCAATATAAACTGCCCATGGTGAAGAACTGGTACAATTTCTGTCACAATGCTTCTCTTTGTCACAGTTATTCTGTAGCTTAACAGAAAAGGCCCAACATTTAGTGCACATAAAAACTAAAATATCCCCTTTCTTAGGTTTAATCATACATCCTACCATCTTCAACAAAATCAGAAAGGGATGACAGAAACCTGAGATCTAGTCAATTTAAAAAATGAGTTAAAAATAGTTTTAGTTAGTACATCCACCCTTGATTCACCTGGCCATTTTCCCCCTGCGTTTTTCCTTTCCCTGCTGACTGTGTGAAACATCCACACAAACAATAGAATAAAATGACTAAGACGGGGGGAGACATAAAAATGAAACTGAATATACGCAAAGTGCTGTCAAATGCACAAAGTAAACACACTGATAAACTAGAATAAATGTATTAGGTTCTGATCTCTTTCAGTCATAGGGAGCTTAGTTATCACTGGTAACAATAGTAGGTAAAACATTTTAAGAATAGAAGTATGATTTTTAAGGTGCCAGCTTTCCCAAAGGTTTCAAACGTTAATGGTTTCTCTGCCAGATGCAGAAAGGAAACTGCCTTTGATTTTTGACCTGAATAAATCAATTTGATCTACAAAAAGAATGAATTGTTAACTTGAGAAAGCTATTCCTGTTCCTTCTTGTGTTTTACATCAGATTAAACTGAGGGTCCAAATGGCTTGTAAAATCATGAGTCTGAAGTGAACCATAAACAACAGTTAGAGCTCAGTCCTGCCCTGCCCAATCCGGTGTGAAAAGTTGCTGTGGGTTGGGGCAGAAGACGGTACGATTCATCTGTTCTCCCCACACATGAAGAGAGGCACGATCCTTTCAAAGTGCCTTAGAAGGTTGGATACAATACCAGCCCATTTACCAAATTCCCCAACAGGCACTCTCTGCAGGGTAGTAGGTTTTTTTTTTGGTGTTGTTTAGCTGACAGATTTATTTCTTCATTATTAAATTTACAGCTGGCCCATAATTATGATGCTAATTCACACAGAAACTAATAAAAGACTCATGTGGTTTGATTCCACATTCCTTGAAGTCAAGAGCCAAACTCACAAGGACTCCAGTTGTGATGGGTCAGATACCAGTAAGCACTTTTCACAAGTCTCTAAACAGTTTTGTGCAATTACACCGCTACCTTGATATAACGCGACCCAATATAACATGAATTCGGATATAACACGGTAAAGCAGTGCTCAGGGAGCGCGGGGCTGCGCACTCCGGTGGATCAAAGCAAGTTTGATATAATGCCGTTTCACCTATAACACGGTAAGATTTTTTGGCTCCCGAGGACAGCGTTATATCGAGATAGAGGTGTACATTGGTTGCCTGTGAAGCTAAGAATCAGGTTTACATTTTTGTTTTTTGTCTTGAGAATTTTAATGACATCTTGTCTGTAGGAATTTGTTTGTATTCATGTCCCTCGTCACATATTTATGTACATTTATACTCATTACTATATTTATTCCTTCTTAAGATTGACCATATTTTCCATAAAAAG